ACAACCCACAACCCCCCCTATCCCCCCCCCCCCCCCCCCAACCCTCACGCTGGTCTGGCTTGATTAGGGAGACATTATTCTTTGTTAGCTGTTTGAGTCAACCTGATGATTCACTGGTGCAACTGTCTTATCTAAAACCATGGTAACCCTTCAGGCTTTGTGGTGTTGAGATAAGTTAAGATACATTATTTCTCAAGCTCCTTGTCTTTTTGCCCTTCTCCTCTGAGCTCTCCTGCAATGTGGGGTTGTGCTGGTCTGTCAAAAGTGCCCAGGTTTTCAGTAAAAGGGAACAATTTGTTTCTTTCCCCCAGACAGTCCAGATAAGATCTACTATGTTTTCAGCATGGAGGAGCGTGATAACAGTGCAAAGCAGGAGTCTGTACAACTTGGCTCATTCACAGGGGATAGATTGCAATTTCAATTTTCCTTTGAAAGTGAGAGAGGATATTTTAATAAAGAATGAGGCACCAGCTGCCAGTGAGTGAAAAGCACAGGAGTATGAGAACTTGTCCAATACTCATGCAAAATTAAAAACTGCTAGTTTGAAAAATTCAAATACATACATATTCTTACAATATAATGTTTGACAGTTTTGAGAGAGTTTTGCGTAATACTGATCTAACACTTGAAGTCTGACATTCTGTTAGCATTTAATGAAGGATGTTTTTTGGCTTTTCATTTTTGTTTTGTTTGTTGTTTGTTTTTTGTTGTTCTTGTTGTTGTGGGGTTTTTGTTTTGGTTTGGTTTTGTTTTTTTTAAAAATCAGGATTAAATTGATAAATCTGTACTCTAATTACTGACCTGAGTTTATCAATCCAGACACAATACTACAACAGAGCCTTACATTATTGTGCTAGATGTTAAACACATGTCAAAACCCATCACATTAATTACCTAGAGGATGCAAACCCAAAATATAGAGAAGGCATCTGTAAACCTGCAAATGGAAACCAAAAGCTGTGTGTAAAAATAATGAGGATAGACAGCAAGTGTTCACACTTGAGGCTTGCTCAAGTGCCTTTATCTTGCAGAATTTAATCTTCTTGATTCCATCTTCTTGTGAATTGTTCCTTAGTCTACTTATGTGCTAAATGTACAAAATTTTGAGTGCTTTACTTGAGCATTGTCACTATTAAGTATGGTCAGGGGTTAGAGAACAGAAAGGGACGGGTACTTAATGTGGTGTTTTACAGCTAATGAAACATTTTAGGAAGTGAAGAAAATAATAATTAAAAAGGTCAAACCAAAACAACAAACTCAAAACCATTCTGGAATCCTTAAAGCTAGTAGCAGCAGAAAAGGCTCGAGTTTACTGTTTTGTGACATCAGTTCTGTATAAAGAAGAATTCTAGCAAATATAAAGCATTTTAAACACCAGTATCGTACTCAGCTCACCTGTTAACTCCTCCCAAGAAGAGAAAGAAGGGATGTTTAGGGCTACAGTAAATTTAAGGAGACTCTCTGCTACACCTAAGGATTCCTCTGCACCTCTGCAGCTGGAAGGGCAGTTCCTACAACAGAAATAAATCCTTCAAATGCCTCTACTGAGAGAATTATAATAGTTGATTAGAAGAGTTCACTGAGGGTTGCTTTACATTGGAAAATGGAAAAAGCAAAGATCATTCCCCAGTTTCTTAATATAATAATTTTCTGAAGAGAATAAAATAAAATTATAACTTTTTTTTTTTTTAAAGCCTAAAATAATTACGTGTTAGCCTAGAAGTTATTCTTCTCAGAATGTACCAATATGTGACATACATAACATCTTTAGACAAGGATTGCTCCTTACTTTTATCAGTACTAATTCAGAATGACTTCTCTTTCCATTATAGATTTTGACAGCTAAATATTTAATAAATTTCTCTGCAGTACAAGAGAGAGGTGATTTCCTTACTGATTAAATAAATATAAGTATAAATATAAGTCTATAGTAAGGAATATTTTGTAAAAGGTAATGAAAAAAAATATACCCCTAGCAGCTCCAAATGAGAAAAATTATTAAAAGTAACAGTCTAATATCAAGTTAAAAGTATAGAAATATTTATATTCTGACTTCTAGTTGACATGTGCTTACAGAATCAAAACTGGTTATGCAGAAATCGGAAAAAAGCAGTCACACTTACTATATTAGAAACAGAAAAGAGAAAGCAAAATACAAAGCGAATATTTCAGAAAAACTGACTGCACAGATAATGTGGGATTTTTTTCTGAAGACAGTAATAGACCATTGAAACTTCTGAAGTCAGGTTTCTAGAACTTTGCATACAAACAAAACTACAAATCGTAAGCAGTATAAAAATAATGGTAATTTAAAGTAATTGAAACAAATTTCAGTCATTGCAAGAAAATAAAATATACAAACATGCATAAATGAGTTTATACAAATCCAGGACGGGGGATATTTACACTGGTTACTAACATGCCTGCCGATGGCATATGGTTTTATTTCTGGTTCTCCTTTGCCTTGTCTAACAGGTTAACGGCGACCGATGTTTCATCGCGTTCTGTGACGGAGACTGAAAAAAATGGCGGGCAAAGGCGGGAAGGGGCTCGGCAAGGGGGGCGCCAAGCGGCACCGCAAGGTGCTGCGCGACAACATCCAGGGCATCACCAAGCCGGCCATCCGCCGCCTGGCTCGGCGTGGCGGCGTCAAGCGCATCTCGGGGCTCATCTACGAGGAGACGCGCGGCGTGCTGAAGGTGTTCCTGGAGAACGTGATCCGTGACGCCGTCACCTACACCGAGCACGCCAAGAGGAAGACTGTCACGGCCATGGACGTGGTCTATGCCCTGAAGCGCCAGGGACGCACCCTCTACGGCTTCGGCGGTTAAAGGGTTTGTTCCTTCGTGGACCATTTCGAGAACCCAAAGGCTCTTTTAAGAGCCGCCCACTTTTTCTCTTAAAGAGCTGTGTTACTTCAGAGATGGGGCAAGAAAAGTGAGTGTTGTAGGCATATTTATGTAGTGTTTTTCTTTATTATAGTGAGCTGTAAGAGGTGGGTAAAGCGCTTGACAGCTGAATGTGTGTCGTAAGTATCTTATAAACCAACCTATTCATACAGACTAGGAAATGTATAAACTTGTTTATCCCAGTATCTGCACCTTATGGTGAATCTAGTAAATTTAGTACCGTTTCCTGTTAAAAAAATCGAGTTGAATAGCAGAACACCCACTTCCACTCATACTTCGAGCCTAGGGAGCTGGCCTACCTAAGAGGTGAATGGGTGTTAGTTATCCTGAGGGCGTTTGCAATTGTGGTCTCTTCCACGATTGGAACAAACGGTAGCAGAAGTACGTATTTCTACTTTTAATTCAATCACAGCAATGCACAGCAAATGAAAAACCTATGTGCACAGGGTGGGAGGTGTTAGAGCTGGTTCCTTCCTGAAGCCCTTCTCAGGTTTTTAAATACTTGAATGACCTCATCTGTTCCCTAAAAATACTTTTTAGGGAGTAATCCATTATATCCATTGCTTCTGGTGGGTTAGAGCTGACTTTTTTTTTTTCTTTCAACTGCCTTTCTAGCTGGAGTAGTTCTTGATGTCCAGTATCAATACCAGTCCTTCCCTCCTCCCAAAATGCCCTTCTGTGTTTAGTCCCTAAGAACAATTGTCCCCACTTGGAAAACAAGAAATTTTCAGCAGAAAAAAGAAATAATAAAAAAAAAAATAGAAAGCTCACGAACAAAATTTATACTTAAGCAAGCAACTGCCTTTTCTGAAAGAACCTGTCTTTGAAAACACTATCCCTTGGTTTAGAGCACTTTGACATGTAATTCTCAACACGAAAAGCTCTCACTGTACCTACCAGCCACAGAGCTACTTTCCACTGTGCTCAAATTAAAGTAACTATATGCAAAACAAACACACAAAAACACACCCCTCCCCCCACTCCCCCGAAATGACCAATCTCCTAAATACCTTTAGAAGGATTTACATGGAAGAAAAACATTTTCAACATTTATTTTTTCAAAGCTCAAGCCTCAAGGAACCAGAAAAAAAATAAAAATCTTCTAAGGGTTCAGGAAATGAATTAACGCATTCGCCCCTTGGACAGTTTTCGATAAAGGTTTGCAATTTCGAGATAGACTATAAGAAGAGATATATGAGAGAGAAAAAAGGGCAAACAAGAGTGGTGAGCACAAGGGGAGG